AACTGATCTCTTTGGCTTCGAAGGGCAACCTATAGCAATTCCTTTTTGCACATATAGAAACCAATGATTGGTTTTGGATGTTTCGAACAGTGCCCCTCTTCCTTAAAGAGTCCTAGGGTTTGCTTCGAATGTTGGCACTTTGACTGATAACCTTCAAACAAGTCTTTGGACTTTTTAAAGTAGACCAATACTTTGAGCATTCAAGAATTTTTTAAGCATGTAGTATGCTTCGAAGTCGGCTTCTGCATTTCGAAGCCGTTGTTATTTGAAATTTAGCGCCAAAATTTGGCTTCGAAGCTGGCATCAATGTGCTTTTCCCTCCAGAAATTATCGATGTTGAAAGAGATTCCTTGTATTCGCACGTTTAGTACTTAACGACTTATGAGATATATTCCCGAACACAAAAGTTATTTAAAACCTTTTTACTCTGTGCTCCGGAATTGCTTACGCATTCAAACCCCCTTTAGATTTCCATTTCTCTCTACTCCCTTCTATATTTTCCGAAAAAAATCACTACCAATGGCTTCTTCCTCATCAAAAGTTCCGACCATAGAGCGCGTAAGCTCATCTGTGGCTTTGAAACAGCTTATTGATGCTGAATGTGAGAAATACAAGGGTGATGAGAAAAGTGTCATCGATGGGCGTATCTTTATCCCTCGTCGCCATGTGCAGCGAGAGTACGTGCTTGGGCCCATTTTCAAGGAGATCCCTTCTGAGCTTCCCGCCCTATATCCTCGTTTGGAGAATCAATGTCTTCTGTATGAGGGTGGTCTCGACTGGAAAGGTTGGAAAGTCAATCGTCCTCACCGATGCTGGCCCACGATGAGACCAGAGTGGCAAGAATGGTACGACCGGGTTGTCCCTGCTAGGACACTGGACCTTCAAGAACTCTGCCTTCTCGATGCTCTTCGACTATCTAGGGTAACTATCTCAGAGGACCCTTTTCTAATCCCCGCTGCTTTATGTTTTTGGAACCCTATTTTCAATTTCTTTCAGTTTAGGTGTGGGATGATGGCTCCCACTGTCCTTGACATTTGCCATCTTCTATCCGGTGCTCAGAAGAAGCACAAGGGTACAACCCATCATTCTTAGCCAAGAAGGCGAAGATCTGCTCTTCTGTCAACCAAAAGAGAAAAATTTTTTTTTTTTTTTTGAATTTTGAAAAAAAAAAAAAAAAGTCTGGAAAGGACCAAAAAAAGTCAATTTATTAGTATTTTTATTTTTTTTTTGTGTTTAGTACAAAATTTTGAATTTTTAAAAAATTTCAACTTTCTAATTTCGTCTACAAAAAACAAACATGAACCTACAAAAGTTTAATAAAAAACAAAAAAAATCACAAAAGATTAAAAAAATAGAAAAAAAAACAATTTGTTTAGCTGAATGCTAAACAATTTTCTCTAAACCTTAATACTGTGTTTGGTTGAGGGATTTGGAAAGGGAAATGAAAAAGATAGGTGAAATGTAAAAAAAATATACTTACATTTCACATAGTTTCACACACCTTTTTCCTTTCCTTTTCTAAATCCCACTCCAAATCCCCCAACCAAACACAGTATAAAGAAAATCAATATAACTTATCCACTAATTTTTGTTAGAAGCACTTTTTCGAAAGCATTTCATTCCTCAAAATCGGTACCACTTTGAAGCAGATCCTGTTTTTATCATATTGCGTTGGAAAAAATCTTTTTAAGTGTGTTTTGGTGCAAGTGGAGTGAGAGATTATTGGCCTCGTTTTCATTTTTAGTTAAAAAGTTAAAAAGTTATTAAATTAGTCAAAAAGTCAATAACTCATACCAAAAAGTTAAAGATTCTCTTTTCTCTCTACTTTTTGCACATCTTTTCGTAAAAAGTTAAAAAATTATCCCAAACATACTAGTTTGTTTTAGTTTATATTTTAGCCAAATAGCTAAAAAATTACTAAATTAGCCTGTTCCCAAACAAGGCCTTAACTCCCTTTGAATCGAAAAAAAAGAAGTGAGAAACTATAATTACGCAACAAAAAAAAAAAACCTCGTGGTGTTTGGAAAGAAAATTTTTTGATTTTTTTTTATTTTTTTCACTAAAAGACAAATTGGTTATAAAATCAAAAAAACCAAATCCAAATAAAATATAACATCAAACCCCATAATCATTTCATTTTTTCTCTCACAAACATCACATCCAACCACAAAAAAATTCAACTATCTTCTCAAACACAAAAAAAAATTTCTCTAATAATATCCTAAAACTAAAAAAAACCTACCAAAAAAAACACACTTCCCAAACACCCACTTTATCTTTCTTTGGATCTTAGTTTTAGAAAGGGACACTTCTTCCCTTTACATTTATTTTCTCTTCACAAATCTCTCCAAACCGTATATCCAAACATAACCTTAGAACATGAAATGGGGTCACCGCTGTGCTAAAGGCACAGAAGTGACTGTTGTGCCTCAATTTGAGGTGTATTATAGACTTATTTTTTTTATCTGAACCGTCATTTTATAGGATTTATTGAGTACTTCATGCTTACCAAAAATCATATTAATCGGATATCAATAACTATATGATCGATAACCAAAAAAATAAATAATAAGTTTTTCTTTTAAGAAATATCATAAAAAATATGCAATTCAATCATATAATTATTGATATCCGATTAATATGATTTTTAATAGACATGAAATACTCAACAAACCCCACAAAATAAACGGTTCAGATCATAAAAATAAATCTATAATACACTTCAAATTAAAACACAACAGCCACTTCTATACCTTTAGCACAACAATGACTCCATCTCTCTTAAAACATCCCCAACAACGTTAATGTCCTTCAAATTTTACTTAAAAAGTGCGATCTCTATTTTGAGTGATCACTTTTTCAATTACTTTTTCTAGGAATACTCTTTATTCATTCTCTATTTTATTTAAATATTATTTTATTACTCTTTTTCAATTAAACTAATTTTTTTTTAAAGTTAATGTGACAATTAGATTAAAGAGAGTAAATAGAAAAAGGAGAGAGAAATTAATATTATATATTTCGAAAATGAACATAGACTCCAATGACTCCCCACATATAGGACTCTCCGTTGCATTAGTTAATTGAGCAACTTATTAGGAAGTCTATTGAGGATGATTTTCGGAGTTTTCACTCGCTAAAATAACTAAAAATTGATAATAGGGTATCTGTCGTAACTCTTTAAAAAAAAAAAAAAAAAAAAAAAAGATTTAAAAAATTTAAAAATATGTTATTCAAAACCCTATGAAATTTTGGGTTGAACTCGAGTTACTTTGGTTGAACTTGTTGGAGTTGCACTCCCAATATTAATGGTAGATTTGTAATCCTCCCAATCTTAGTTTCTTGTTTTTTTTGGCTCATAAATTAATCATGCAGCTGGTCTTAGATCCATGATTTACAGTCAGATCTCCATTTGCTAATTCTACTCCAGATATTCATTTACATATCCATAGAAAGAGTGAGTGTGTGCACTTTGTTCTCATAATTTGTTGATTGAATATGCAAGATATCTATTGACTGTTCCTCCTCACTAGTTCTGTACCCTCCTGAACAAATTACATCAAGTCGAGTTCTCCGGCGAAGGAAGCAATTTGGCTGACTGTTAGTCCTACTAGCATGTAAGATACTCTATTTGACTTTCTCATTTTCTCTCTTGCTTTCAGAATGCTTTTGGCATTTTGTTAAAAACAAACCAATCTTCATGAATGCAATCAAAGTTAGTACTATTTCAATGAACGGTAGAGGAACTGGAAACTGAAGGAGTTGCAGAAAGTGCAGCTGCAGGTGTGCTGAGCTTCCTGGTTAAACAGGCCCTTGGAGCAAAAGCAGTCAGGAGTGAGGAGATACCAATTTCACATTTGCTTGCATTGAGGCATCTTGGGACCCAAAAGGAGAAACACTGCGAATTTGAGAGAGTTATGCCGGTGGTGTGCTCACTGAAACCAAGGACGTTATCATCATGTGCCAGTATTTTCTGGTGTGCACTAAAATCTGCAGTATACAGGTATGGAAAAAGGCCCTGGCAGAAGGTAGAGCATCATTTGCTAGATATGCCAGATGGCTTCTGCAAATATTTACTAATGATGGTCTTATCTTCTTCATTTTTTTTGTACTTTTATTCATTCTGTTCATGGTCTTAAATCTTTTCAGTTTTAATTAAAATCAGGAAAGAAAAAACTAAAGAAAGACATCAAAAGATCATGAGTTTGGCAGAATTGAATCTATTTGACTTCTAGCTATATTAGCCTTGTTTCTCTTCTCCTACAATACTTTGCATCTTTTGATAGGCCATTATCTTTGTGCTTTTTCCCTCTTACTATAACGTTTTTGGTAGGGTTCAATGGTTGAAGAGAGTGAAAATACTGAAATGGTTTCAATTGATATTACTTTGTTTACATTACCAATGTCTTAAAAATCTTTCAACCATATAGCAACTTGAATCCAAGAAAAATACTTACATTTTAGGCAAACTTTACCAAACAAGCTTGTGATTCCCATTCACCTTAAAACTCAAATACCCATAATTGAAGCATGTCTATTAGGTAGAAACTTAGGAGACTAAAAAGCAAGTCATAAGGATATGATATAATACCTAGAATATTATAAATTCTCCCCAGTCAAAATCGTCATTCATGGCTCTTAGAATCGACATTGCATCTCTTGTGAACAAACCACTTGCAGGTATCTGTGCAGTGTAATTATTGTTTACGGGCATTGCATTCTGTCCCATCCGCTCACAAATTGCGAACCGACAAACCGGGCATTGACCGTGGCTCTTCACCCATGGCACAATGCACTCTTCATGAAACATATGATTGCACGGAGTGAGTGTCACCCACTGTTTAGGCTCAAAATCATCTAAGCAAATGGCACACCTCTTGCCTTCTTCGTCTTCCACTATTTCCTTCCCAACAAAGCTGTTGCTTGTGGCATAGGAAGTGTCTCTGTAATACAGGTTCAGTCTGTGTGCTAGGTGCTTTGCTGTGGTTTTTGGTTTAGGATTGTAAATTTCTTTCTTCAGCATCTTCAATGCCTTCTTTTGCTCGTCTGGGGAGAGTCTTGATTGCTCTCCTTCCTGTGTAGGGACTTGCATATTCGTCCATTGTTGTTCTGTGAACCTTGGAGGGGGCTGGGGGATGTACTGTCTCGGCCTACCATTGATGACTCTTGCCATCTCATTGAGGACTCCGAGTTCCATGGGAGAAAGAGGTGAGACTGGAAAACTGCATATTGTTCCATGTATAGTGTTATGAAATCATTAAGGGATGAAAATAAAAATCTGAAATTTTTTATCAAAATTTTATGACAGTTTAGTTGGATACTTGTGATTGGTTGTATGTTTAGATGAAATATGTTAGGAAATTTTTTTGAGAGTTAAATGTTGATATGTATGTGGTGAAACAAAATTGCAACGAGTATTAGATATCACTAAGAAAAAAACTAATGTTATACAAATAAAAAATTCGTACATAAAAAATTGTCATATTATTTTTGTCAAATTTTTTGTATAAATTTTATGTATATTTAAAATTTTCCTTAAGAAAATGTGCATATGAAATTTCGATGATATTTCATCTGTTTAGCTCAGTTGTTATTCATTCGTATTAGTTGTCATCATGGCAATAATGGCTTTGCTGCCAAAATTAGCTTAGAACTTACAGCGTCATTCTTGGATCTCCTATTTTTATTGTGTCATTCCATTTTTCTTTATATCTTATCTATTCTAATTCTAATATAAAGGGAAAGTTACCGTTGGTATTGACACATTTTGTCTCATATTTTGAATTTTCTTAAAATATTCTTATATTTAGAACTTCTGTAAAAATTATACAAAAAGGAGGGTAGGCCTCCGACCCATGACCTTGGTATATACTAGAGGCGGCATGTGTATGTAATTTGTAATTGAATTTGATAACTATAGCAGTTATTTGAAACAGAAGAAGAGAATTAAAGCAATTTATATTTTGAAAGAAAAAAAAAAATTATGTGACATATATGTATATATATATTTTCCTTTTTTTTGTTTGGGATTGAGATTTTTAGTGACTTTTTTATTGACTTTTTTTTTTTTTTATCTTTAATGAAATTTAAAAAAGAAGTCAAAAATTTTTACACAGATTCTATTTGTGTAGACAAAATGGAAATTTTTTTTTTTTATTTTGAAAAAAAAAAAAAGTCTGGAAAGGACCAAAAAAAGTCTTTTTTTTTTTTTTGTCTTTTGTAAAAAATTTTGAATTTTTAAAAAATTTCAACTTTCTAATTTCGTCTACAAAAAACGAACATGAACCTACAAAAGTTTAAAAAAAAAAACCAAAAATATCACAAAAGATTAAAAAAATAGAAAAAAAAAAATTGTTTAGCTGAATGCTAAACAATTCTCTCTAAAACTTGAAGGAAATCAATATTATTTATCCACTAATTTTTGTTAGAAGCACTTTTTCGAAAGCACTTCATTCCTCAAAATCGTTACCACTTTGAAGCAGATCCTGTTTTTATCATATAGCATTGGAAAAGTTCTTTTTCAGTGTGTTTTGGTGCAAGTGGAGTGAGAGATTAATAACTTCCTTTGAATCGAAAAAAAAGAAGTGAGAAACTATAAATACGCCCAAAAAAATAAAAGTCTCCTTATCTTTCTTTGGATCTTAGATTTAGAGAGCGACACTTTTTCCCTTTACATTTATTTTCTCTTCACAAATCTCTCCAAAACATATATCCAAACATAACCTTAGAACAGGAAATGGGGTCACTGCTGTGCTAAAGACACAGTAGTAACTGTTGTACCTCAATTTGAGATATATTATGAGCTTATTTTTATGATCTAAACCGTTCATTTTATAAGATTTATTGAGTACTTCATGCCTACCAAAAATCATATTAATCGGATATCAATAACTATATGATCGATAACCAAAAAAATAAACAATAAGTTTTTCTTTTGAGAAATAACATAAAAAATATGCAATTCGATCATATAGTTATTGATATCCGATTAATATGATTTTTAATAGACATGGAATACTCAACAAACCCTACAAAATGAACGGTTCAGATCATAAAAATAAATCTATAATACACTTCAAATTGAAACATAACAGCCACTTCTATACCTTTAACACAGCAATGACTCCATCTCCCTTAAAACATCCCCAACAACGTTAATGTCCTTCAAATTTTACTTAAAAAGTGCGATCTCTATTTTGAATGATCACTTTTTCAATTACTTTCTCAAGGAATACTCTTTATTCATTCTCTATTTTATTTAAATATTATTTTATTACTCTTTTTCAATTAAACTTATTTTTTTTTAAAGTTAATGTGACAATTAGATTAAAGAGAGTAAATAGAAAAAGGAGAGAGAAATTAATATTATATATTTCGAAAATGAACATAGACTCCAATGACTCCCCACATATAGGACTCTCCGTTGCATTAGTTAATTGAGCAACTTATTAGGGAGTCTATTGAGGATGATTTTTGGAGTTTTCACTCGCTAAAATAGCTAAAAATTGATAATAGGGTATCTGTCGTAACTCTTTAAAAAAAAAAAAAAAAAAGTGATAACAAAGATAACAAGAAAAAGTGAAGTGGAAAGTAGCGAATTATGCCTGTGATACTATTACGGTGTACAGCTTTAAAAAGGGACAAAAGAAGCATACCAGATGCACTATACCATAATGTACCTAATATATCCACAAAATTCTGCAAAAAGTATCATAAATTTTTTTACTAAAATATTTCACTACATTCTTCACTACAAATTATTTGTAACATTTACCAACGCAAAATATGCATAACCATAAAATACTTGCTAAAACTAATGGTGTGCCATTTCTCGGACGAAATTATAACGTTGTCAAAATTTTAGAAAACTATTTCTTTCAACCTCTAATTTTCGGACTCACAAATAACCTTCACAACTATCATTTTGTGAGAAAAATATAAACAATAGCCTTTGCACCAACAGATTAAAATTATCAAAAATAATATTTTTTAAAATGAAAGTATTATAAAGTATCATGATCTTGTTTCCTTAACGCTGTGTTTGGTTGATAGATTTGAGAAGGGATTTAGAAAATGAAAAGGTGTGTGAAACTAAATAAAATGTAGATGTATTTATTCACATTTCATTTATTTTTTTCATTTTTCTTTCCAAATTCCTCCTCAAATTCCCAAACCAAACACAGCATAAGTCTAATAGTTGCCTCAAAATTTGCAAAATTATGAGATTGTGAATATGAAGCACATTATAATATACAAATAATAGGTTTGATTAACGAGTACCTTAGGGGTATTGGTTAACAATATTTTAAATGGTTATACATTCTTTATAACACGTACTTTTATAGTAAAAAAATATACAAATATTTTAAGCTTCCCCCTTAGACCAATCATTAACAAAACTCATAAATAATTTCTGCAATTAATGAACCAAATCTCAAGTAAAAATGGGCGGGTAGTGCAAATCAATAGAGCTCAGTAATTAAGATCTTGTAAGGCTGCTCATTAGGTCAGGGTTCAAGCCCCCTCCCCTCCCCTCCCCTAGGTTAGATAATATAAATTGTTTCTTGATGTACTAAAAAAAATGTATTTGGCAACAGAAGGCAATAATCACCTGGTTAAGCCCAGAGGTCTTCCTGTTATTCTTTCCTGTATAGGTGGTGAATTCTGCAAAAACACACCAACCCAAGCAACAAACAACTGATACTATTATTTTCTGTCTCACATGAAAAACTCGCAACCTTATTTAAATAGATAGATATAGCCTGGAATACTCCAAAAATAAATAAAATAAAATAAAAATGACACTAACCTGGGGCCTTGGGAACATGGTGTGCACTCTGTTCCAGTCTCTGTATCCCTGTCCAGGCAGCCTATTCCCTGGTGTTGGCCTTAAATTGTTGCCGCTGCCGCTCATTGTGTATCCGTTCTGCTGGTTTGCGGAGACAATGGTGGCTTGGGGCTTTAGAGTCTCAACAAGTTATTATTCCTTACTGTATGTATGTGACTCGACCAGAGGGAATGGTATCTTTGTTTCTTTTCGTCTATGTTCTCTTCATTTTTTTATGCCCACTGGGGAAATGCTCTCCTTTTTGGTTGGTGGTGCCCAAATGAAAAGATTCAGTAGGCTTGAAGAAAAGAATCCAATTCTTTCACGTCGGTGATGTGTGTGCTTTTGAACTTGTAAATCTGTAAAACTATTCTTTCCCTTTTATCCTTGGAATAAGAATGCACAACATGATTACCTAACTTGCTGATCCAAAAATATTAAATAAGTGAAATTTGACGTAGCAATAATTTCATTTATAAATAAATAAACACAGAGAGAGAGAGGCCTCTAAGTTGATTGTTTCATGAAGTGGACAGACCATAAGGAAAAAAAGGGGGAAAAATTCCAAACCCAGAAACAAAATCCTCTGAAAATCTACCCTAGAGACATAATCTGATCACCACGTCAATATTGTTCAAAAGACGGCTTGTGAGTTTATGAGAATGCCACAAATGCAATTTAAAGATAATTGAACCGTTGCTTCCAGACCTCGCGCTTCCCTTTAACAGAATGTCTACCTAATTTCAGTCCCACGAGAAAGTTAATTATAACCAACAAATACTAACATTAACAAAGCTCAGAACAAGAAATTTGGACTTAAGAAAATACCTGATGCTCAAATTTTAATACACTGATATCAAAGCAATATAAATCGTTCAACTGAGAAAATCACTTGCTCATAGTTGAAGACAAGCAGAAGTTCCAGAAGATAGAGCCCATTGACATGAAAGCAACACGAGCTTGAAGAGGGACAACCCTACAAATATGCCACTCAAAAATTGTCAAAGCATGTTATCCTGAAAGCATTTAACAACCACACAGGTGATCCAATAGACAATAAAAAACCATGTTAAATTACAAGAGTTCACTAGGTGAAGCAACACTAGCATTTGAAATTTGTTGGTTCTTATCATCACATCCGTCTCACGAAACTCACTAAAATCTCTCTCTCTCTCTCTCGAGCATAAGTCAGAATGTTTACTATCCGTGATTTTAGGAGTAGGCTCGTTGGAAATGATTTGGAAGTCCAAATTTACTGATATAGTGACTCTCATACTGTTCCAAGTAACTACATCCTAGTTAAAGATACATGTGTACAGGCCTCCTCGTGAGATCAAAGGTGAATATTAATTTCTGTTTAGAGTAAAACTCATTAAAAGCTGCCAAAAGGGGAATGCAGAACAAAATTCATACTTCAAATCCTATTGGCAAGGAACAAAATGTTGTTTCGTTTCGTTTCGTTTCCATTGAAACAGTTGCAACATTTATGTTTTACAGGAAACCAAAATGAAACATTAGCAGAATACCGAAATTCCAATATTTCAGTTGAAACACGCCAAATCACATGAAAGACAACAAAAATACTGAAACAGTGAGTTATTTCGAAACCTATTAGGCTATTAGTAATATCTGGCAAAAGTCATTTCTATTTGCTTATTTTTGTTAAAAGAATAGATTTGAGAACAAATATATATATATATATATATGGATATATATATATATATATTAAGGGGTTGTTTGGGATGAACTATATAAGTGCACTTTTTGACTTTTTGTCTAAAAAAGTAGAGGAAAAAAATATAGTTGTTTGGGATAACTTTTTGATTTTTTACGAAAAAATGTGTAGTAAAATATTGTATAAAATACTAAAATGACCGAACTACCCTTCTGTGAGGGTCAGTGCATGTCAGTGACGGGACTTATATCAGTGCACTGTGCTGAACTTTTTTTTTTCTTTTTCACACATGAGCTGGAATGAGACAAATAAGGGTAAAAGTGTCTTTTTGCCCTCTGACAAATCAGCCCAGTTTTCCCGCCAAAAAATTGTGAATGGTATAAACTTTTTTGTTTTTGTAGTGATTTTTTAACTTTTTGCCTTTTTTAGATTAACCCAAACACCTACTAAATTTATTAAAGAATGTAAGAAATTAGTAGGAGAAGAGGAGTGACAGAGAGAAATTAAAAAGGCATTATTAAGTCACTTATTTTCATGGACCCAACTAAGACTTTAAACCATTAGTTTGCGAGCCTCTAATATTCATGGACCTCAACATTTTAATTATTTAATTATTGAGAACGCAGTAATAGTTATGTAGGATTTACTTTTTGCTTCCAAACATTTTTCATACGTTTCAAAATTCTTTTGTCATATCACTTGTGATTTTGAAACATTTCCGAAATGTTTATGTTTCTAAGATAACCGAAAAATCATACCAAAAACAAAATTTGGATTCTTTCTTGTTGGAAAATCTCACTGTAGAATTCCGAACACTTATCGTCCCTAATTTGTATAGCAAGAATTCCTAGTTAGTAGCTAACATGATCCTACTCCAAAATATCCTGTTTAAAAATCAACCTTACTGCAAAACAGTGCACCAACAATAAACATTCACCAGAAGGAACGAACCCTTTATGAAATAAAGACCACAGTGTAAAACACTCTCTGTGGTCCAAAGGCCAAGACCACAAATTGTATTCCTTCTCATATCCAGTTTATAAATCAACCTTGTACGCCACTATGGATCCTGCAACAACAATCTCATTTATCACAAGGACCACATTAAAATTTTGCATCCTACCCATAAAGGCAGTATGAGAAATAGAGACTACACAATAACAACCATTCGAGTCCATAGTCACTAACTCATAAATAAACCTACCCACCCACCAGTCAAGCTAATGGGGCTGAAATCTTTCAGTTCCATAGCACCACCTTTCTTTGGAATCATCACAATAAAAGTTGCATTTATGTTTCTCTCAAAAGTCCAAACTCACGAAGGAAAAAAAAAATGGCATCATGGCTATAAATAACATCCACTCTAACTATAACAACCTCATGCACAGAAGAAAGTTCCATACCATCCAAGAAAGGCATCCTACAAATCTTGGAGCATAATATTTCACAAAACAGCACCACTCCCTGATCTCCTCCTCCCTGATCTCCTCCTCCCTCATGATCTCCTCCCAATCCACCACCAAACTCTTCACAATATTAGTGTTAATCTATTCCATCTTTGTTTCCTGTAACACACCAAATCTGCTCGCTAATTTGCATCATCTATATTACAAAGCCTTTCTCGAATCCAACTTTCCAGCTTTGCATCATCAATTCACAACCTTTCGCTTATTCAGGTCATTCAACCTTCTTAGATTCCAATAAACCATTTTATCTTCATTTTGAAAACAACTAAAATGACCTACACCCCCATCCTTTCTTCCTTCAGTTTTTTGATGGGGAGGATACTCATAATTAACCGAGGAAACTAACTTCTTTGACTCGCTTTCTTTCCTCAAAATAGGTCCCCCAACTCTGTTCTTTCTCTCTCCTGATCTGGGCCGTCATAGACAATAACTTTCTCATTTATGAGTTTTCATATTTTCATTCAACAATTTATTTCAAAAACATAAATAACACTTGGTGACAAAATAAAAAGGATGTCCATCATCTGTCTCTTAGAAATAGCTAAATTAAAATTGTTTTCACCTGTACATAAGAAATCCCCAAACTTTCTTGAAATAAAAATTAATTCGGTGACATTCAAAATTGTCAGAAGAAAATAACAAAGTTGTGTTTATGAAATTGTTCAATTTATTTGACTTATTACTACAACAGTCCTATGCATGTGGATCCCATCCATTCATTGAGAAAAGGTTATTCGATTATTAGTAAGGGTGACAAAATAATTTAAGGGTTTTTGAGCATGAGATTTGAAGTTTATAGCAGTGGCAGCAACAGTAGTAACAATAGCAAAATTAAAGTCAACACGAGAAAATAGAGAAGGGAAAAGTTCTGTCACTTCTGGAAGTGACGTGATTGGTGGAACAATGTGCAAGTGCAAGATTAAAACATACACCTAGTTAGGTATACATCATTCTAAACATAGTTTATGAGTTAAACTCAGCCAGATAGAGAAGTGAAACAAATTCATAGTTACTGCATCAAAGAAAACCGTTCAGATTTCCGACATAATTTCCAATCTAGGCAAATAAAACCATTTGATTAAGGAACTTATCAAGGAACTAGCTTGTTTTACGACAACGTTCTGAGATTAGCATTTACAAAATCTGGTAAGTTTCCAGACTGAAAGAAAGCATGGACAGTGGTTTGTCATCAAAGTATCAAACTAACTTTTTTTCTTGATGGTTCTTTTCCCAAACTATTTTATGAGGATTGGATCCATTACTTAATCTAAGTACTTGACCAGGGAAAGAGATGTACCCAAAGTTCAATACGCTGACAGGGATCCAGAACCTAAATCCTGCACAAGAATGATAAGGATGGAAAGAATTATTGAACTCACAAGAAATAACACCACCACCTTGAAGACTATCACAGTCATCACTATAAACAGCTCACCAAAAAACAATGTGGGAAGTGCATCTTTCTTATACTTATTTGGAAGCTCTGAGATCTTCCCTTGCCATAAATTATTCCATGCAAAAACAACAGCAATTACTATGGGGCCAAGTATGATCTGGTTCAATAAAACCTGCAAGGAACTGAGATGATAAGACAATGTGTAAAGAAGTTGGTTATGAATATTATTTGTCCAAAAAATAAATAAATATCCATTTAAAACCCAGGGGAAAAAAAAGGGTTATACCTTGAGCACTAGGTTCTCTACAGTTTGCTTTGGCATGCAGTGATCAAGAAACTGGTACCATGCATAAGAACCAGGCCCATAGAGAAGAAACCCATATGAAGTCATCCGAAGGGCTCGAAGCCAATCATGATCTGAAGGGAGGGTCCCTATGACATCCTAAGGAAACATATTTCATAAAAAAAAAGGTTAAACTCAACATTAGCCCATTGCACTACTAGGTTGCATAGCTCTTAACATATCAAAACAGCATTCAAACGACACTCTCCGAACCCAGCTAAGCTAACCATCTGAATAGTATGTTAATATACAACTTCCAGTATGCATAGTAGAAATTATCAAGGTGCAGGCACTACACAACATTATCACGTTGACATATTCAGTTGAGCAATGACATTCAGGTATTTGTACACATATCAGTTATTACCAAATATTGGCTATTGTGCACAACATTTGCATTCCAAAGATTGTGATTTGCATACACAAGACTCGACAAGTATATATGTCTGAATGTAACTAAGAGATTCATATCATATCACGTTAGCGTGGTGATTTAGTGTAATGGCTGTGTCGAATGCTTTCTTCCATGCCAAATAGTCAAAAGAGCCAACTCATTAAATAATAAAATAACAAGATGCAAATAAAGATGAAGAGAAAAAAAGAAGGTTGAAGTGAAAGTTTAGGCATACGGTCAGCACTTCGATTTCAGGATATTTCTGTCTATTCACTTATTTGGCAGGCATAAGACTTAGAATTGCTTATGGTTTTTGGGTTTGGGAATACAACAGAAGCATAATGGTTTGTGGATGGGGTTAGAAATAACTAGATTTACAGCTGTAAGTTAAAAAAAAATTTGAGAAAACTTACTCTCTGGAAAAAGAAAAATGACAAGGGGACAACAATATTTAGGCAGGGAAAAGACTTGAAAATAAGATTCAGGCTCATACTTTGCCGAAGATGGGATTCGGTACCGAAATTTATGCAAAAAAAAATGAGATTCATCAGTGACTCAAATTTTGGAAAGTGAACCCTAAGAAATCTTCAAAAAAGTTATTCCCACTATGCTATTACTCTATTTTCCATAAATCAAGACAATTTCACTTTTCTTGTCAAGAAGTCCCAAGTTTATGGCATCTTCATTGCTCTAATTGTAGTTCAGCAGAGAATCTAGGGTATCCAAAATCCAAAGTGAACTTATTATGTACCCCTTAAGTTAAATAATTATAACAGAATTCAAGACAGAAAATTTTATTTTTTGGTATGAATCAATCAGTTTTTTGGTATTCCAGATCTGTAACAAAATAAAATAGAACAACTATTTCTCCAACATTGACAATTGACATACACCAACAACTTGGTGAACTTTTGGTATGACATATATAATTTTTTTCCTTTTAGTCCTTTCATTTTGTGCATATGCATCTAACAAAACATCTATAACTCCAGGTTCTTGTTCTTTGAGGCAGCATAAACAGTTCAAAAACAAAAACAGAGCAATTCACAGCCTGATGATCAGTGAATTTAGGTATTTCTGCAACATTGCTTTGATTAAAGAAGTATTTGAAGAGAAACTGGCCTTGATGGAATCGTGATGATGAGGAGAAGAGAGAGATTTAGTCTTGACCCAGCGCTGTTGGAGCTGAGCGATGGTGTCGCCGGTGAGGGCGAGAGTGGCCGCCGTCGCCGCTTGCTTCAGGGGAAACCGGTAACCGGTTCCTCCGGTTGCATCTACAGAATCGTTGGATTTGGACCTTCCGTTTCTCTTGCTTCGTCTTTGGTGAGACTGGAATGGTGGGAATCCCCAAAAGCCGCCATTGCCGCCACTGAGAGCATCCATTTCTCTGAGTGAGTGAAGTGAGAGAAAATAAAACAGAGAGATTGCTAGCCAAACAAACATGCATATGTAAGTTAGTGCTATTGACAGTGCAATAGTGGCTTTTACCAGAACAAGATATAACTTTTTTTGTGACTAATAAGTAGCTGTAAGTTGTAACTTGCCTGACAGAAGTTACTTTTTCCCTGGTAATAATAATAGCAGCGATTCTGATTGTTTGGTTTCAACTTTTTAAATTTTATTTTTATGAATAATTTTAAAAAAATTAATTTAATAAAAATATATTAAAAATACACTTATTATAAAAATATATTAACAATACACTTATTAAAACTTTTTGAAAAAAATAAAAAATAAAATAATTTTTAAAAATTTAAAATTATCTTTTTGACTTTGGCTCAATAGTGTATTCATTGATTAGTTTTTTAAATATTGCTCCAAACATGCCATCCACTATTTTTTTTTTATTAATTTTATAAATACTTGAAAATATTACTATATTTGTTTTCTGATATTTTTTTATTATTTTTTAATATTATTACTTTATAAATATTATTTTTAAAGAATTTACACATGTAAATATGGAAATAAATTTAGATGGTACATTAGAAATTTTCGATCACAATATATGTTGGAATTTTCTATAATTGAATACAATATTTTACATTGTCAATAAAAAATAATGTCATTGATAAAAAAACAACTTTATATCGTTGTCATTATTATTATCACTGACACTATATCGCCGTTATTTTTGCTACAATTGCTTCTGCCACCATATCATCTCCTTATCTCTATTGTGATCACTATCAACACCACCACCGTACCACTATCACCACCATACAAGCTTTCTACAATCACCATTGTTATTACCACCACACAATTATCATGCCGCTAAAGCTACCACTACCACTACCACTGTAACGCTCCAAATTTTATTATACGGATACATTATCAAGTCTCTTATTTAAGTCTAATTACATAACACAAATACGGAAACAATAAGTACAAATGAGTAACTAGAAGTGTTCTCTCTCAAATACAATGTCAAAACATTCCAATACAATAGTGCAACAAATGCCCTAAGACTTCCATTGAAAACTTCAACAATTTAAATAATTACATAAAAAAATAAAAAAAATCTCAATACATTAGCATTTCATCAATGAGAAACAAAGCTTAAATCAATAACAGTCTAACTTCTTGAACTCTCGAACGAAGTAACTCCATAGTTGAAAAATAGTTCAACAATTGGGATGGATACAAGGTCCAGTAAGAATGTACACTAATTCTCAACAATAAAATCAATAGATATATGTGATCATGAATGCTATCAAATGATAAGTAAATAAATAGTGTGTTCTCATATATGCAAAATAAATTACATAGGTAAATATTTTCTTCACAAAATCTCATTTGACATTTCAAGGAAAACACATTTATTATTTTCATCTCTTATCAGTATTGATTCAAAGAATTTCTTAAATCTCCTTTTACCTTAGAAGAAGATCTTTGGTCAACTAATCATGCACTCTTCCTAATCATATATCATAAAAATTAATTACACTATCACTCGTCAACTAACCATAATCCATTTCACCCCCAATCACACACATGCACGCTAACGTGTTTCACATTCTAAGTAATAAATTTCAATTCATTATCGACATGCTCCTATTACACACTGCAAGCCTCTAGTTACAAACCATCACACTCACATGTATCAAGATAATCGCATGACTAACAACTAACACTAACATACTAATAGTCGGCTTCATCAAGCCATGTCAACACAGTTTACCAGGCGCTACTTCAAAAGGAAATCTGAAATCTATCCGAAAGCGCCACGCTTTACCAGTGGCTAGTTGGAAAGAAAGTGAAACCTCCATATAGCCCAACAGTCCACACGCTTCACCGGGCGCTACTTTAGACGGAAGACAGAATCTCTATCAAACACCATGCTTTACCAGTCACAAGCTGAAAGGAAACATACCCTCTTGCCAACATTTTAAATCATCAATTCCTCATATCATTCATCATTTCAATTTATAAAATTATACCAACAACACATACACATATAAATCCTTCTACAATCAACCAATACCATCCTCTACCGATAACTAAGGACAAAACCTTTACACATTTAATAATAATAGTATGAATTCATCTCGGTAAATGAATATGATTATTCACTACATTTCCATACCCATTTCTTTTAAATATCAACCCAATTTCATGATTTAAGACCCAATTCAAACAAACTTCATCTTTAGAATAAAGTTCAAGACTAGGGTTTGGGAAAAAAAATTAGGACTTTTTACCTTAAGGTACATAAACATGTTCCAATGGCTCAAAACTTCCACAATCTACTACAAACTATAAGTGTAACTTTTTTATTTCAAAACCCCAACTTTCCTCTCCATGCTTTTCAAGAAAATCTCTTCTAATGTGATGTTTTATACAATACAAAAAACCACCCGTCTATCAATACAAAATTATTGAGGAGAAGCAAAGAAATCCTTATCACAAACAAGACGATAAGAAAGCTCAAAAATCTAACTTCGACGAAAACACGATCTGTTCAGATTAAAAGGAAGCTCTTGTCGTTCTCTACTTTTTGGTATATGAAACTAGGGTAAGATTCTTAGTAGATATAGATGAAATTTAAGTTTGAAAACTTGGGATTTTCGAAAATGGAGGAAAGAGAGAGAAGAGAGAGTGAAAATGAGATAGATTTGACCCAAAAGTGACTTTTTAAAGTGCTAAATCCGAACAGACCACTCGACTTGTCCAATTTGCGCTCAAGTAGTGAATGAAATATCTTGTTTTCAGGGATATGCATGGTGTGGTTTGGATGATTTAAGAGTAAAATTATAAACCAAATGGTGGATCAACTGATTGACGGATTAGCAAATTGTGATTTAAGCAGTTTTTGGTGAATTGGCGGATTGAAGAATATTCTAACAAATTATCAAGCCTTTGCATAATATATAACACACTAATTTGCATAACATTGTTTATATCTATATAATAAGGGAGGAAGGTTTTTGAATCTTGACAAGACTTTTGTCTATTTGTCAAAATATACACCATTAGATTGATTCAATCCAATGGTTGAAAATGTCTCACTCTCCTTTGGACATTTCGATGGTTCAGATATTTTTGGGTAAATATCAATGCTTGAGATCAGATTGGGTAAATATCAATGCTTGGGTGAAAATGTCTCTCTCTCTCTCTCCCTCTCTATCTCTCTCCTTTTTTCTCATCCAGACGTCTTCACAGTTTGGGTAAATATCAATGTCTCTCTCTCTCATTTTTTGAATCACACAGACGTCTTCACTGTTTCTCTCTCTGATTTTGATTTCAAAATTTGAAACTCCATTCTCTCTCATACCTCTTCCTCTTCTCCTTCCTCTTCCCACCACACATCTTCCTCTTTCCACCAAGCGTTCTCTCTCTACAAGTTTAATCTCCTATGGTGATTTTCAGAATATAGCCCCGGTGGTGATTTCTACCATCTGCCTCAATCTCTGCCTCCTCTCTCTCTACGCAGCTCCAAGGTAGAAACCTATCCTCCCTGTTCGAAATATAGCTCATTGAAATCACTCCGAAAACACACAAGTTTGGTCTTGATTTGATTTGATCGATGTGGGTTTTGGTGTTATTGTCAATGATGTGTCTTTTGGTGACTAATTAGATAAATGTTTGTGTGGTTGGAAAATTGGGTAGGTGTTGGATTGAAGAGAAAATGTGATTGCAAGCTAAGTTTTTTCAGTCCCTACCAGAAGTGTTTGTGAGTGAAAGAGATGAGTTGTTTTGGAGCATTCAGTTCTTGCAAAGAGAAATCTGAGACTCAAACAGAAGGTAAGGGCATGAATATGGTTTTATGTAATTGTATGATTATTATTTTTTTGGTGTGTTAAAGTTTGTGATTTTTTGAGTTATGGGAGATAGGTTTGAGCTTTATTGACCTTTTCAACTCTTGGTTATGGCCTGAATAAGAATATGGTCTTTTGTGTACCTATTTAGTCTATCCTATGGATGCCCTGCTGTGACTGATATATACCCCATTTTATGCATTGGTAAGGATTAATATTTCTATTTGATTCCACTAAAACAGCCAAAATGTTTTAATTTTTTAAGAAACTGAAATGAAACACTAATGGAATACCAAAATTCTATTGTTTCCATTAAAACACAATAAAACCCAATGCAATATACTGAAACCATAAGTTGAGTCAACATGAATTTAGAATGTCATGAAAAGAAAATTAGTATTTTTGACTTCTTAATGGCTTTTAATATTTATGACTTATTTATCACTTTTCGTGTAGGCTATGTAAACCTAAATTTTAACCACATTCCAGGCTAGGTGTTGTGCCACTCCGTTCTTTTCCCACTGATAGTGATCAATCATTTCATAAAGTTGTTTGAATTTACAAAGCTGGTTTGCTACTTTTTGATAATTCATAGTTGGCAACCGTTATGATTGTAGAAGGCTGAGTTATTTGTCATTATGTTAATCAAGGCATATTTGGCTCTTTGGAGACTCTTATACATGTTTTATGGAACAGGTAAAGCAATAGCAAGGTGCAAGTCATTGTTGGTACGGTATGTACAGATGGCATTTTCCTGCCAATAATTTTATAGAAATCCTGCTTATCATTTTGAAACATATACTTCTTCTACAAGTAGCATTTGGAATGGGAATCAACAAACCAAATGGTTAGTATTTTACCTGTCTATTCTTTTGATATATTGCTTCTCATATGAAATGATACATCGATACATGAAAGCGACCCTAAAAATGTGTTTATTTCATTATTTTGATAAAGTTTCTAATGTGCATATGAATATTATTGCCCTGCTTATTCCAGATTTAAAATTTTATATACGTTGTAGTCAGGTTTGTCATCTATCACAGCCTAAGCAAGTCGCTAAGCCTATTATTTCCTTTCTTTCTTTCTTTCTTTTTTTTTTTCCTCTCATTTTTTATTTTACTTTCAGAGTGAGGATTGTAAGTTCTGATAAAAAATAAAACAAATTATGCTTTCAACTTTGCCAGTTAAACAATGCTAAGATTGGCTCAATGAGGTCTAGAAAGAATTTGTACAAAAAAAAAAACAGTAAAGAGGTCTAGAGTAACAAAAGTCAGTTTTAAGCCAATTGACCGTTTTGATTTTTCTTCAAATATTTGGTTTTGGAACTTCATTAATTAAGTAGACTATCTATGTTATTAGTTAGTCATCTTGGAGTAATGAGTGATGACATAAAATTACTTTATACTTGAAGCAGTTTAAACCTGCTTTATACTTTTAATTGGATGATTATGCATAATGATACCTCATAAGTGGAGAAGAAGGTGGTTTCACTATCAACCCTTAATGTTTGTTTCAGCTATTCAAAAATAGGCACTTAAATAGCTTACAAAAGCCTAGGCCCAATTCAGACCAAGGTTTTTAAATAGGCACTTAATATGGAAAGAAGGTTTTTGAATTTGTCCTGCTTGGCAAGAAATTGTTTTAGAGATACATTTATAACCAGTGGTTCATATCAATCCTAATCAAAATCTAAGGGCCAAATACATAACATTGTTTGCCTTTTGGATTCCTGCTAATGAGTACCAAACACACCTCCCTATCTCTCTCTTGCAGACGTCCTCCTCTCTCTCTCTTTTATCCTCATTTCAAATTTTAATCTCCTTCTCTCTCTCTCTCTCTCTCTCTCTCTCTCTCTCTCTCTCTTCTACCTACTCTTCCTTCTTGGCTTTACCTATGGCAACTTGGTTGAGATTCGAGTGCAGTGTTTGATCAAATGCAAGGTAGATCGGTCAACGCAACCAGCGAGAAAGAGATCGGTATCCTCTTCAAATTTTTCCTCCCTTTTCTAGGCATATCTAGGGTTTCTCGGTTCAATTTTTTTTTTTTTTTGTTGACTGTTCTTTTTCGGCTTTTTTTTGTTTTTTGTTTTATGTGTGTCTCTTTGTATGCATTCATTATGTTCTGTAAAATGCCTCACATAGGTCTCGAAATGTTTTCCTAAAATGGGTCTCCAAAATGCCTCAAAATTTTTATTTGGGTTTTCGTTGAATGTCTAAATTTTTATGTCATTTGTTTCTCATTTGGGTTTGATTGTGTTTCTCATTTATATTATGTGATTTGTTTCTCATTTATATTGCCTCAATTAAAATCTGTCTCTTTACACCTCTATATTTTGTGTGTCTTCATGCATATACCATGTTCGATAAAATGCCTCAATTAAAATAGTTTAATTTTTAATGTTAGCTGCTTATATAATTCTACTTTTTTTGTTGTTAAAATAGTGAGTGAATTTATTATAACAGGCCAAGTAAATGTAGTGTACGGTGGTAAGGTTTAGCAAAAATAGAGGTATATTCAAATCAGTGATACAAACAGTGGGAGTTGGATGTTATTTTTAATAATAAACAATAGGCAAATTTTGGACAAGGGATAATGGAGCTTGACAGGTCTACACTTTTTTAAGCTGAAGTTTTTCTTATCTCCCAAGCACTGCTACTCTCCAGGTAAGATCACTCTTTTCATTTTATGTGGTGACTATGTACTGGATTGATTTACCCTTGGTTTTTTCTTCTTGAATCTTTGTCTATTGGGTAGGAAATAATGACATAGTAGTTGTGTTTCTTGAATCTTCAATTTTGCTGTCAAACGGGTAAGATAAGTGTTCCTCAAATGCTAACAAAAGGATATACTTATATTTTTATATTTTTTATAAAAAAAAAACCCCAAAATTTTTCTCTCAAAATTTTGAAAGAGACGATAATTGTGGTCATATAAGCCGCCAATCAAAATTTAGAAAGTGCTTCATCTGTTTTATTTGAAGTGAATTTTAGTGCAACATTTTATGCTGCAAATGCTGTGAATTAAATTAGTCATGTTTGAGAAAAATTGCTTAGGCCTAGATTGTTAATAGTTTATTTTTGAAAAAAAAAATTAAAAAATATTACAAATTATCACATTACTCTCCATTTTTTTACATATTTTTTTAATAAAACATTAATAAAATAACCATTCTCAAACTTCTTCTTAGTAGCAATGTCTCCCATCTTTTGTCTTTCTCATCATTTTTTTTTCTTTATCTTATTTGGAATTAAGATTGCACATCAACAAATCCACTAAGCGAAAATATTTAATTCTTGAGCTATATGCTTTGAAGGGTTCCTAATTAACTATGCTAATTCTTGAGCTATATGCTTTGAAGGGTTCCTAAAATCCAAAATAGAAGAAGAAAAAGAAGAACTTGAAGTAGACATGTAGAATGAATCTCAAAAAAACATAAGATATATATAGAGAGAGAAGATTAAATTACCTAAAATGAGAAGAATGAGAAACAGAACAAACTTTTGTCTATGTAGTGGTGGTGTTTGTTTTTTGTTTTGGTTTCAGAGACATAGGCCTCTTTTGGGTATATGGTTTTTAGCCACTTTTTTGAGTTTATAAAAGTCAAAAGTTAGCTTTTTTGTATTTAAAGACATTTGAAAACTGGTTTTTAATAATTGGTGAAATTACAATTCTACCTCTCATGGGTCAAAATATGTTACATAAGTGAAGTTGTAAATATTTTAAATTAAATGTGGATAGTTTGGTCATTTCATTATGATTTGATACCATAAATAAATATTAATAAAAAAAGTCCAAAGTAACTTTTTATCAACTTCTCAAATCATTTGTTTAAAAAAGTCAAAAACTTAATTAAAAGTAAAAAAAAATATTTTTTACCATTTTTTCAAAAACATCCCATAGAAGGGTATGAGAGAGAGAGATAGAGAGAGAGAATGTTGAGCAATTCAGAGAGATGATGTAAGATATATATAGTAGTTAGGTGAGGGAGGAGAGTGGTTGGGAATTGAGAAGAACGAGTAAAAAATGGTGTACAGTTCATTACCAACATAATATAGAAAAACATATAAAAATGAATATAGAAACCCATATCAGTTGCTATCAGTTTAGAGTAACAATTACTATGGGCTTTATTTTACTTTTTAGAGCAATAAAGGAAGTTAGGTTGCTGGACATCAAGTCCATTTCGTATTAAATTCATATTATGAATACCATGTTCTACAACTTAAAGAAAAAAACTTTTACATCATTAGGTGAAGTTTTGATATGGTGTTTAGTTTTTATTTTTTATTTTTGGTCACATAATAGGATTAGGTACGTGTTTGGGTATGATTTGGATTGGTGTTTGTGTTTCCAAACTGGTGAGCAACTTTGTGTTTGTGTTACGAAGGTAAGAATGAAAGGAGATGTGAAGTTGCTAAAAAATTAGTAGAGCAACTTTATTGAAATATTTAGGTGGGTTGAAAGAGCATTTTTTTTTTTTTTTTTTAGACTCATTTTACTTGGGTTTGAAATAATAATTGATCCTCATAAAATAGTTATCAAATGGTTTTTAAGATATTCTTAAGTGATTTTTCAAATGGTTTTCAATGTTTCATTGTGTTGGATTTGTGTTTTTTTTTTATTATTTATTTTTGTTGATTAGGTTGTGTTTCTAAGATTTAGGTTTCGATTTGTGTTTGTGTTTCTAATATTTATGTTTCTAAGATTTTTGTTTGGGTTTGTGTGATTAGGTATGCATTCAATGGAATCACAGAAAAAGTTAGAAACAAAGCTTAAGAGACACAAAGCATTGGAACAGAGCATTGAAAATCATTATGTTTCGTTTCAATCAAAGCAAAAGAGACCCATCAATTTGGGTTTGTGTTTCTAAGATTTGGATTTGTATTTGTATTTGTTTTTCTAAACCTTAAACTGATGTGTTTGTGTTGGATTTGTGTTTCTAAACCTTAAACTGATATGTATTTGAGTTTCTTTTTCTTTTTTTGTGTTCTATTTCTTTTCATTTTTTTATTTATGCAGCTTTAAATTTATATGGGTTGGTGTTAAGTTATGTTATGTATTTGGGTTAGTGTTTCTAAACCTTAAACTGATATGTATTTATTTTTCTTTTTTGTGTTGTCAGGCGAGGGTCTTGACATTGGTTTATGGGACTGTTGACATTGGTTTGGGTCTCAACATTTTCTTTTTTATTTTTTTTTCTTCAACCCGCATGTCTCTCACAGGTCATTATTTTTGTTTTATTTTATTTTATTTCTATAACCCAATTTAAATTTTCACTCATAATTCATGGACTATTTCTTCATCCCTGTTGAAGACATGGTGAAGAACTTGAAAAGAAACAGAGTAAGGAAAGAGATAGTGGTTGGTTTTCTTAATTGTGCTGCGCATTCAAATGCTTAGCCACTATCACATCTTTATTTATTTTATGTCCTATTCAAATTGTATTGATATATTATTATTATTTTTCAATAGGAATGCAAAATGTGTTAATATATTATTATTTTTTTCCATAGGAATGCAAAAAAATATATGAAAGATAGACCCCGCAAAGGACTAATGGCTACTTCTTTCTACCGACAAATTGCTTGGATTGTTAATGGTATTTATTTATTATTTATTATTTAGTAAAATACGTAAAAGATCTCATATTGTTTAGATTGAAAACATGGAAATAGTTTAAATTGAAAATAAATCAAAATTTTAATATTTAAATTTATAAAATTAAAAACTCAATAGTTTATTTTGTTACAAGTATTAAATTCTAAGTTTTTTTTTTTTTGAGTAATTTTTCCTAAATTTTAATAATACCTAAAATTATACAAACAAAATTGGCTTATGTGTGGTGGCAGCATACAATGTTTCTAATATATTCATGTTCCTCATGATTAATTAAATGTTGAGGATGTATTAAATTAATTAATTAATTGACATTATACGTAGAAATTATAACTACATTTTAATCCCAACAATATTTACACCGAACGTTATTTACATCGTGCCTTCAGACACAGGCATACGCTAGTATATATATATAACACAAACTAATTTTACATAATATTTTTTTATATATATAACTACTAATTTGTAATAAATTTCAAATATTAAATATCTCTCAAACTCATTTTTACTTTAATATTTCATTATAGATTAAAAAATATATACGTATTAACTATAGCGAAGCGGAATGGTTTCGAATGTGGATTATAAATTTTAAAGTTTAAACCGTGGTTAGTAGATAAAGCGATGTGGGTTGATATGGATCGATGCAGCTTTAGCGGATTGGACAGTATTTTGCACTGCCCTATCAGTATCTATACTTTCTCGAACAGATAACTTGAGCGGTCAAAAGTGCGCTCAAGCAGTGAATCAAGGCTTGTAGTATCTTAGAAAATTTTGAAAAACAAAGGTGGAAGGATCTATGGACTGCTCGAGTAGTGAAACTTGCACTCGAGCAAACTATACACACAACACAAATTCGCAAATTTCGAACGGGTATAATTCTCTGGTCTAAGCTCTATTTTGGGTCATTCTTGTGTCCAAATTGAAGCCCCCAGAAATAAACTTTTTAATGGTTCTAGCCTCACATCAAGATTCAAAGTGTGGAGAGCGAAAATGATAAAAAAGTGAAAACTACATAGGAACAACTATTCAAATTTATAGTTTTTGATCCAATCTCGCCTAACCATTGTGGTAACACCTCAATTAATGCTCAAATATTGACGAAGGTGGTTCTCATTTATGATAATCAAAATAGTCAAATATAATTTTATGGAGATGGCTATGTGGACTGGAGAGTACTGTTGGGCCCATGGGGCCCACCATAGGTCCCGTTTCGATGATCCAAACCGTTTGATATGTAGAGCTCGTCGAGTACTTCATGCCTGTAAAAATTCATGTTGATCGGATATAGGTAGGCCCTTGATCGGAATATGTTTTTGTCAATAGTAAATATGATATTAAAAATAAATTATTAACAAAAATATGCTCCAATTAAGGGGTTACCAATATCCGATCAAGGTGATGTTTTGCAAGTATAAAGTACTCGACGACCTCTACACGTTAAATGATTTGAATTATCAAAATAGAATCCGTAATGGACCCCACAGATCCAACAGTACACTCCACTAGAGAGAAATCATCTCCTAATTTTATTATACCAAGAAGTACGAAGTGCTACAACCACCCCATTCCAATCAATGCCGCCACTATCTCCCTATCACCACTGCAACCTAACTATTAGCACATTAACTTTAAGATCATAAATAAACACACAAAAAAATGTTCTGGGTGAAAACCATTTTTTAAAAAATATTTTTAGTAGTCCAATATTTTCCATCCATCCAAATAAATGGATACGAAATTATGGTAAGAGGGTGCATGAATTGAATTCCATAAATGGTTCGTCTTTATCAATATCGAGAACAATAGCTTAAAAATCTTTGTCATTATGATTAAAAGAGGGTGTGGATAAATGTTTTTTTTTTATTTATTGATGATTCTCTCATCTTCCTTTTTGAATGACAGAAGAAATAGAAGTCACATTTACTACTAAAAATCCAATTTCTAACAATAACATTCATTTGTTAATGCAATCAAGTGATTGAATGTCAGTTTCATAAAACTTAAATACTTACAATTTAGTATTGAAAAATGAATATTATTTTTTTTAAAATTGAAAAACTATTTGATATGCATTAAAATTTAAATATTAAAATTCAATCAAACTGTTTGACATATAAAAGAAACTTAATTTGAAATTTATTTTGTTTTCTTCCACACTTTACACTGTTCGTGGGTTAATAGTGATGTTGCGGTGGTGTGGTAATATTGATGGTGGTGGTGGTGGTGGGAGTTCAGATTCTCTATAGTGCTGCTCTCTGTAGTGCTTGTGTGCTATTTTGGTGCAACCAAAAAAAAAATCCTAAGGAATTGTTCTTCTTCAACACTGACGGAACAGGGAGGAGAGAGCATGAGGGTGCATGGAGAGAGAGAGAGAGAGAGAGAGAGTTCAATGTAGCTGTTCACAAACGCTCTGGGTCTCGCCACCGGTGTATCAGAGGAAGTTTAACGCTACAATGGTGTCGTACTCGCTGTTCGTCGCCCTGATTTTCAACTTAGATCTGATTTAAGGGAGAGAGACAAGCAAAAAAACATATTACGTCATTTTAATTAGCACCAAATCTCAGCTCTCCATTTCTATTGCTTTTGATGTGGTGCACTCTGATAGAAAGAACTACAGATTGCACTACAAACCTAGCACTATAGGAAATCCAAACTCGAGGGATGGTACTGGAGTGATGATGATAGAAGTGTGGTGCCAAAAAGCAAGTTTTGGGACAAATCAAAAAAAAATTATGCCCTTATGTTCATACTTCATTCACTATTATATTAAAACTATCCATCCAACAAAAAAGAAGAATCATCAACTATATAACTCCCCCCCTCTCTCTCTTCTCTCTCCTCAAGTGAGGTCATAAATAAATAAATCATTAGGTAACGATAACACCTAGAGACTCAAGTTTCATCATCTTGTTTTTTTTTGGATGAGTACTCAAGGTTCAAGTTTCATCTGCTCAACAAATATTTCATCACATCATGTGTACTACCGTACTTCTAACAGATTGCTCCCTTGTTATTCGATATGTTTTGTTTGCTCATGAAACCCGTCATTGTGTGATATTTGGATAACACTTCTGTGGGAGAGGGACCATTTTCCCAACTTCATCTTCTGCAGGCAGTTATGGTTTGACAGACATATATATATATATATGCTAACATCTTATGCTATCAATGTCAAACACTATACAGGAGAGAGTATAGAGGTTAATGTTACACACTAGCTCTGTTAAAAAAACTGAAGCTGTGATATTCCACACACACACAGAAAAGAAAAGAAAAGAAAAGAAAAGGCTATGGTTATGCAAATTTCAAGCATCAAACAGAATTCAGGACTACCAACAAACAATACTAGCTACACTCATGCATTATAACCTGTAATTTTGGACATAGTGAGGAAACCAGTTAGCTAGAAATAATAGAAATTTAGTAAAAAAAGAGTAAAAAATATAGAAAAAGTGTCATAAAGAGAATGAAAAGCATATCTCCTAATGTCAAAGCCCAATCCAGCTCAACTAATGAGATAGCCTGCTTAAGCAAACATAGTTAAGAATCGATTCCAAGGTTACTAAATTTAATCTACTACTAGAACATCAATTAATGCATGGTACCGTACAATAATATGCTCTTATTGTTCCCCTAAATAGTCATCTTTCACATGTTATGCGCATTTACAATATTGAACCACACAATAATCTACAAGGGCAATGCAAATTTTTACTCAATTGAGGGACATTAAAATAGCATATAACCATAGAAATTCATTTATGAATGTTAAAAAAGAAGAAGAAGCATACTTTGCAATGCAGATCAAACTATATTATATTTCACATACAAATCACAGATGACCTTTAAGAAAAGGAAAATATACCTATCAGCAAAGCAAGTTTGACATTCATAATGCATTAACAAGTTTATGCATTAAAGTTCATTAAGTAAAGCAGAAGTAAATTGAACAATAACTGACTGCATCCAAAGCTCAGTGTTTTCAACTTCATCATCCTCGCCTTCATCCTCGTCCCCCGGATACCCATCTTCCGATGATGACATCGCATCCCTTGCTTTCCTGCCTACCACTTCGTTTCCTTCAATCAGTAAAACAAGGCTCTCCATATAGCTATCGACATAATATGAGTCTTTTGTGCCACACATCATCCCAATATTCGTACTTGCTTTAGTCCCACAATTATACGAAACTAGTTCTCCACCTTTAGCCGCCAAGAGTACATCACCATTTCTCCGACAACCCAATACCATCCCTAACCCTCCCTCCAAGTCAATATTAAACAAATTACTCCAAGACTCCGCAACACCATATTCTTTCATAACCCAAATGGAGCAATTACTAGTCCATATCCGCTTATCATAGTGAAAGATCGAAAGAGAATTCCCAAATACAGCAGCAGACATGTTCATCGGAGACATAGACACCAAACTTTCAGGAATTCTCAAATCACCAAATTCCTCACTACCCATATCAAAAGACATAATCAAACTCCGAAAACTTCTATCCCTATTTTTCACAGTCAACTTGTAAGCTACCCAATGGACCGACCCATTGAGAAAAGCTTGTGTCCAGAAATTTTCAGTGACACAATATGGAACAGTGGTCTTCACATCTCTCCAACAACCCGATCGAATTGTGAAAACTTCAACCTCAGGAGGAACTATATACCCATCATCCCCTTGAGCATAAGCAACCCTAACAACCTTATGATCATTAGTCTTAGAATCAAACCCAAAACCAAGAACAAACATAAAGGGTCCACTACAAGCAAACGTAAATCGAGGAATTGGAAGAGTCAATGACCTCCGAATCGAAGGGTTCCAAAGAACAATGGTATCAGTGTAGCCAAACAGATCATCAGACAAACACAAGAGCCCGTTAACAAAACCCACAACCCTGAAGTAAAATCTGGAGTGTCCAAGAAAAGGGAATTCGATTTGGGCGTTTAAATCATCGAATGATTGATTATCGGAGTGAACAGAGTAGATCTCCTTTCTGTGAAGCTTAGAGTAGTGTCTAACGAGTGTGTGATTGTGAGGAGTAGAGGTTGTTTGAGTGATGAGGTGTTTGGTGATGAAATCAGGGGTTGTGATGAGAGACATCCATGTTTTGGAAACGCACCTGAAACGAAGGAGGGACTTCACTGGAAGCCTTTTGAGGATCTCGGTGGTCACTTCGATAGGAAGATAGTCAGACATGGTAGAGATTTCAGGAGCTTTTCGAGAGAGAGAGAGAGAGATAGAGGGCGGTAATTTGCAAACCCTGATATATAGGATTGATTTTGGAAGTTAAATAAAAATTAGCATTAACTTTTAATTTATTTTGAATTATATTATTTAAATTACACTAATAGTCCCTCTAGTTTGGAACTTATGTCATTTTAATATCTAATTTTTTAATTGTGATACATTTGACCTTAAATTTTGAATCTTGTTCCAAATAAAGACAATTGAAAATATCATTAAATTTTTCAAGAGTAAAATCGTCAATTTGATAAAATATAAACTAATTTAACAAAAATAAATATCAAACAAATATTTTTGAATTTTTAAATATTATTTCTACCCACTAAAAATAAAATTATGTAAAATTGATAAATCTTTTAGATATTTATTTATTTATTTACCAAATTAATTTTTATTATATGTTTGAATGATGATCATGTAAAATTAACTTTTAAAAATTAATCATGTAATTTTAATCAATTTTATATAATTTTATTATTGGTGGATAAAAATAATTTTTAAAAAATAAAAAATATTTTTTTGACATTTATTTTTGTCAAATTAGTTTATATTTTATTAAATTGACGATTTTAGCCTTGAAATTAAACAATAGTATCTTTAATTGTCTTTATTTGCAATAAGATTCAAAATTCAGGATCAAATGTGTCACAATTAAAAAGTCAGAGACTAAAATGACACAAGTCTCAAACTATAGAGACTGTTAGTATAATTTGTCATATTATTTTTTTATATATAAAATGATAAAAAAAAATCAAAAAAATTTAAAAAATTAACTTTTAAATCAACTTTCAAGTCACTCCATAATTAGGGGTGTAATTTTGGCCCGACCCGGCCCATGTCGGGCCTTGCGAGCTCCTGTCAAAAATTGGACCGGGCCGGGTCGGCCCACGGTCAGAAAACTAGGCCCAGACCCAAGCCTAGACCTAGGGATATTCGGGCTTTTGGGCAGGCCAGTGGGCCGGGCCTTAAGTCGAGCCCATGGGCACGGGCTTTGGGCAGGCCTAAACAATTTTTCAATTTTTTTCGCCAAAATTTTATTATTTTTCATTAAAAATAACATCGGGCATCAGGTGGCCCGGGCCGGGCCGGGCCGGGCTTCAAAACGATGGCCCAGGCCCAGGCCCAAGGCCTTGGGCTGGGCTCGGTCTCAGGCCTTAACGGACCGGTCCCACCTCGGGCCGCCTGCGGGTCACGGGCCAAAATTACACCCCTATACATAGTCTCAAATACAGAGAGATGACCTTGCAATGCAATGCAATTTGCAAATGAAGATGGTTCCGTTTGAGAAGTTTACTATTTTAGGTTCGTTTGACATGTTTTTTGGGTTAAAATAGTTATATAAGATAAAATAAGTTATTTTAGTTCAATAAAATAAAATATTACATTCAATTTTATAATCATTTTATTTTTCTCTTACAAAAGTTAAAAAAACTAAAAAAAAATTATCTCAAATGAAACTTTTTAACTCCGGACTAAAATAGTCAAAAAATCAAAAAGACGAAAAGTTAATCTACATCCCAAACGAGCTCTAATTAGTTATTTAATTTTTGCTTATTTTAATAAGTTAAAATATTTATATTTAATAAAAAAATTAATTTTTTTATAATTAAATGTGATATTTATGAGAATAAATAAAATTATTATAAATTTAATATAAAATTTTGTCTTATTAATTATTTTAATTTATTGGGTAAACTTCACTTTACCCCTTGTGGTTTGGGCCGGATGCAATTTACCCCTAACATTTGGAAATCACCACATAATTCTCACATGGTTTTTGAACCAAAGTACGCCATCAGTTTTTCCATCTAAATTAACGGAATGTGAGGCTCACCCGCCTAGAAGAGAGTAAATTGATTCTTAAAACTAAATTACCCCTCATTCACCTTCAAATTTACAAAATATACCATTCTTCTTCCTTCTTTCTTTACTGTTTCTCTCTCTATTGTGGGTTGAAGATGAGGTTTGGAAGCTTGTAATTTAGGAAAATTGGAGTGTTTGGGGAGAAAATGGTGACAATGGAGAAATAATGAAATCAAAGCTACTCTTTAAGAGGTTTTACATTGATATATACATATAGTTACAGTTTTTGGTCTCTATAACAACGCCACCACAGCGATGGCGTCCCTACGTCTCACCTTCTTTGTTAATCTGGGTTTTCGATCTCCACCCACGTGTAGAACTCAGTCTTCAAAGTCGTCATCATCATCATCACCAACTCTCAATCTCAAATCCAACACTTAAAATCAAAGAAACCAATCAAAATGACACTCACTGATCACAAACTCAGTTTCGACCTGAATCTCACTGTCAAAGCCTCGATTGCTGCTGTTCAGATGAAGCCACCGACGTCGCAGCTATGGTAGGTTGTAGGCTTGAATTCAATTTGATTGTAATTGGGTTATTAAAAATAATGAAAAATTTATTTGGGTCAAATTATGGTCAGATTCATAGTGTATATATATATATATATTTGGGTCAAATTCAATCTGATAGTATATATATGTATATATATAATGTAATATGTGAAAAATGTTGAGTTTTCTAGTGTTTTGCATCAATCAAAATTTTTTGAAATTGAAATTTGTTAAATTTGGCAAAGAAAGAAAATATGTGTATGTATATCTATATATATGTGCAGGTTCAATTCAAAAGAAATAAGAAAGAAAGAAAATAGGTGTATATATATATATATATATATATGCATGTTTACTTTAAAAGAGAGAAGAGGAAGAAGACAGGGACATAAAGGTAAATTTATACATTCTGTTAACAGAAGTTAGTGTGCGTTTTAGTTCACAAATTACATAGGAATTATGTGATGATTTTTGAATGTCAGGAGAATAAACCACACCCGGTACAAATTATAAGAGATAAAGTGTAGTTTGTCCTAATTTATTTTATAAATTTTTCCTCAAAATGTTAAAAAAACAAATAAATAAAAACCTTTGCCACACAAAGTCACATCAAATGACTATGGGCAGGTAAGATAAAAGGAGGTATAACCTGTTTGGCATTTTCTATATTATTTATTTATTTTTAATTATATTATTTCTTTATTTTTTTATATTATTTTATAAAAAATCAAAAATATATTTATTTATAATGTGACAAGACGATAAGTACTTTAACATAAATTGTGGAGTAATACTTTAAAGGGTAAATTATACTTTGTTCTCTTTATATTTAGTTACTTTTTTTATTTTGGCTCTTAAAATTTATTTTTTTCTACTTTGACCTTTTATTTTTTAATTTTTTCCCAATTTACTCCTAAAAGAAATTTCTTCCCAATTTACTCCTAAAAGAAATTTCT